ATAAAGGAGCTGCAGAGTGGAGTTTCTTCCAATTTATAATGCAATGAAATTGATGATTCTCAACTAATGGATATTGCTTACAAATCACTACTCAAGGAGTTTTGTGAACTTTTCCAGGTTGACCTATACTATAAATAACTTCATGTTTTCAACAGGATGCAACCCCTTCAATACCGAGGCCTCTAGTCCCAATTATTCTCGAGGTATAATATATATACACACACACGAAAAAATTTATGTTGATTTTGTACATGTATTATACTTTCTCTTGTCATTTATATATAAATTTAACTTGTTTTCAGTGTGAAAGATATGTTTCATAGTGAGTGAGTATTGATGGTTTGAATGTGAGTAAAAAGTCTGGGTGAGGGTGAGGAAATTGTTATGCTGTGGAACTGTGCCCACCTAGCAAGGTGGACATAGTTTTATGTTTATAATTATTGAATTCTATGTTCTTAATTTTTGAACTTTACATTCACAATTATTAAACTCTATATTCACAATTACAGAACTCTATGTTCATAATTTTTGAACTTTATATTCACAATTACAGAATTCTATGTTCTGGGCCTAGATGAAACGTTTAAAATCAAAGACTTGGGGCCTCTTGGGTATTTTCTGGGCATTGAAGCACACATGACTGATGACGGCATGAACATATGTCAACGAAAATATGCTCTGGATATACTGGAAGAAGTTGGATTCCTTGAGTGTAAACCAGTGAGCACTCCCATGGTGCAATCTCTGAAACTAGGCCGAGAAGATGGCACCCCTTTGGCTGATCCTACGAGCTACAGAAGGTTGGTGGGAAGGATGTTGTATCTCACAGCCACCAGACCCGATATTGCCTATTCTATCCAACAACTAAGCCAATTTGTCGACTCTCCCACAGACAAGCACCTGTTGGCAGCACATCGCGTTCTGAGATACATTAAGCAATCTCATGGACAAGGCTTATTTTATCCCTCCAACACACAGTTGCAGCTGCAAGTTTTCTCCGATTCCGACTGGGCAGCATGCAGTGAAACAAGGAGATCGATCACTGGCTATTGCCTATTTCTTGGACAGGCTCTTATCTCATGGAAATCAAAGAAACAAATGATAGTTTCAAGGTCTTCTTCGGAGGCCGAATACAGGGCATTAGCTGCAACGGTATGCGAGATATAATGGTTGCCTCACCTTCTACGTGATTTACATGTTGAAATGAAGAAGCCTGCGACTCTATTTTGTGACAACACCTCAGCCATAGCCATTGCCGAGAACCCCGTTTTTCACGAACGCACAAAACATATCGACATTGACTGCCATATAGTTCGAGAAAAGTTAAATCAAGGCCTCATAACACTACTGCCAGTCACTTCTGCAAATCAGGTCGCGGACGGCTTCACAAAACCCCTTGCCACGCATTTGTTCAAGCTATATGTGTCTAAGCTGGGCGTTCAAAATTTATACGCTCCAGCTTACGGGGGGGGGGGGGGGGGGGGGGGGGGGGGGGGGGGGGGGGGCGGTATTAGAACATGTGGGAGAAGGGTAGCTGGCAGGAGGTTAGAAGGGCACCTCGGTTTGTTATTTCTGTTGTAACGGCTTTTGCCGCTTGTTTCCATCCAGGTATATCTACCCCTCGCATGCTTCTTGTACAGGTTGACAAAACAGACTTCCAATAACAACTTTCCAGTTCACAATCTGCTTCCTCTCGTCACCGTTTAAGGCCAAACACTGAGCTCGGTCTTGCGCAGGGCCTCGATGCCGGCCACGAAGTTTGCCACGGGCGCCCAAAGTCGAGTGTTGAGCTCGACTTTGGTGCATGAGGTCGCGACCTAGGGGCCAGCCTCGAAGGTTGGCTCGAGTTGCCTTCACTACATTAAAGTTTATAATATTATGTGCATATAAAATGTATTATACAATCATATAAGAAACTGCATTCTATTAGACCCGAGTGCTAAGGGATAAGTATGGTTGGCGGGTCCTCATAGAACGTGATAGCCTTTGGACTCGAGTGCTAAGGGATAAAATGAGAAATTCACAACCCATTTAAAAGCAAATCCCATTGATTCCATACAATAATATAGTCAATATACCATTGATTTCAACCATATGATAAAAAACACTACATCCATCAGCTTTTCAATTATTGGTTGGCCCAATCAACAAAGGCCAGTCAACCATTTATCAAACACTTCAAAACAACTTATTGGTGAGTCAAACAACCAAACTTGATCAAATCATCTAAAATTTGATTGATCAGCCAATAACCAAACACCCCATATATCTTTTATGCTCTTTTACAATTATTTTATGTGTCTAACCATTGATTTATTCAAATAACCGCATAATGTGGCACGCTCCATGCTGCCACTTACATAATGTGATATGGTAAGCTATGTGCTGCCAATTGTATGGCGAGACAAGCCATGCGCTGTCATCTAAATTATATGGTAAGCTCCGCGCTATCTCCTAAATTACATAGTAATCTCCGCACTACCTTCTACAACAACATTTACCATGAATAAGCTAGTGTGTGGTTGATTGTGTAAAGGAAGATAAAGATTCTCAAACCTATTTTCAATTTTAATTTTATATTTAAACCAATACTAGTGGAATGACCTACAAATCACGTGTTATTCAACGTGCAGGGAATAACTTTAGCTTCATGAACTCCTAGGCGCTCCGTACATTTAATCACGACTCTCATTACGATTTTCAATGCTCCGAGCGAGAAATGTTACAACACTCATAATGCAGTTTGTGCTGCATAGTGCAGCGCGCGGCTTTATCTGGAGTATAAATATATAACGCAGTACGCTGCATTTTATATATATATATATATATATATATATATATATATATATATATATATATATAATGCAGCACGCTGCATTTATATATTGCAGCACATGCAGCACAAAGCTCAATGCATTGAGCTTTGTGCTGCATTATATATATATTAAAATATTTGATAAAGCCTGTATCTTCAAATATTTTTTTTTTAAATATAAAACATAATTTAATAATTAATAAATATTTTAAATTACATACAACGTTGGATTTGTTAAGAAACCATAATTAATATTTTTTTTTAAAAAAAAAAAACGAAACAATGTCGATTTTTCAACAAAAAAAAATCGACGTCGTATAATAATTAAAAGAATTTAATTATAAAACCGACATTATATATACGACGTAAGTTTGGTGTCCTCTGCACAAATGTGTAGTCCAGACACCCATCATTAAGGATGCACTTGAGTGTTATCATCTTTATTACAATTTAGTTTCACGTTACTATTGGAAATTATGAAATTTTCGAGCACTTGAAAATGATCTTAAATCAAGTCGAAAGTCTTGCTTCGGTCACTTTTGGTATTCAGAAAAATCATTGTTGCTATTTTCGATCACTTTTTGCTTTCGACTTGATATAAGATCACTTTCAGGAAGTCGGAAATTCCATAATTTCCAACCGTGCGTGTACCGGTTTTCTACTTCTACTTTCTTATGCCGACAAATACTTGCTGCTAAGAAAGTGAAGGATTCGTGATGGAATAATATAATATTCAATATTAATCATATTATTATTATTATTATTATTATTATTATTATTATTATTATTATTAATTCGAATAAGAAGTCATGCAAGAAATTAGGAAGAGTTGAGGAAAGTTGTAACTACTCGAAAATGGTCTTATATAAAGAGTCATAGATCAATCAGAAGGACGTGGCTACCATTAGTTATAATAAATTGTCTTCTACGTACTTTTCTCCTTCTTCACTCCATGGCCATGGCTGCCTTTAATTTGTACATGTACCTGCAATGCTTATAGTGAATTTTGACTTAACTTAATCTAAAATGTCCGTAATCTTTACCGTTGTGATTTCCATGTTAAATATATATGTATCCTTCTTATTTATCAATTCCCTGCAAATACTTTATTATTATTATTATTATTATTATTATTATTATTATTATTATTATTATTATTATTATATTTTCTCCATTACAAGGAGCATACATTATTACAAACTTGCACCGGGCCATCTGCTATTTCAAAGTGAATTATTATCAAGCAGAAAGCAGAAGAAAGCACATGTGACAATTCCTATCCCATTCTCCATATATGACATAAAAGGACAAGCTGAACCGAAAGCAAATGCCAAATTGAGGGATCATTATTTTATGAATTATGGTGACACTGAAACATAAATAAAAAATATATATTATTTATATACATAAAATATATTATTTAAATATTAAAATATATTATTTTATATATTATCAAATAATTTATATTTGTCAATGACATTATAATATACTCCACTCAAGGACGGAGCCAATTAAAGGGGGGCAAGGGGGCAGCTCCCCCCTCACCCCACCCCCACCCCCACCTCCACCTCCACCTCCATCCTATATATAGTCTTTGTATGTATATATAGTACATGTTTTAGTATTAATATTACAAAAATTATAAAATGTTAATAAGAGTGAGTTAGGTTAGGTGGTAGAAGACACGTTTGACAATAGTGAGGTCAAGTGTTTAAATTTTGGCATCAACATAGTATTACAATTCATTAATTATGTTTCATATTTTGTTATGAATATTTTTATAAAGTTTCGTTGTGTTTTATTTTTCGTCCATATCCAACAATATTTACAACTATATTTCTTATGAATATTTTTATAAAGTTTCGATGTGTTTTATTTTTCGTTCATATCCAACAATATTTACAACTATATTTCTTAAGTAATTTATTTATTTATTTTTAAATTATCTCTTTTGTTTTAATGTTTCGCCTTTACTAGAAAACTTTTCTAAATCCGTCCGTACTGTTTCGACCCCCCTCAACCAAATTTCTGGCTCCGTCCCTGACTCCGGCCACTCTCATTAACATGTCAAAGCCTCAAACAGAGGCTTGGTTCCTCTACTAGTATAAAAAGGAGGTGAAGTTAGTTGCATAAAGCTCATATCCAAAAATCATATATTATTCTTCTTCCCTCAACTATACAAAAGAACAATGGTTAGCAAGAACTTTTCTCTAATTTTCTCATTTCTCCTCATCACTGCCTCTCTCTGCTTCACCACTACAAATGCCACGTCTAAGAGACTCCTCTTTGCCGATAGTAAGCAATACTGAACCCAAAATCTTTCATTTCCACCTTTTTTTTTTTCTTTCAATTATTTTTTAAATTTTACTTTCGATAATTTTAACTATGATCTTGGTTTGTTGGAGGCATTCGGGCCTTATATTTTGTTTGCATATACTTCTCTATAACATATGAGGTTACATAATATATACAACCTATAAATTTTTATTTTTATGAAACTAGTTTAGTAGTAGATATTATATATAGATATTAGTCAATTGTTGAAATTTAAGATGCGCCGGTTTAAAGTTTTAGGTGTGTGGTTTCCTTCTTTAAGTACGTGATTTTCGTGCTTAAGGTGCGTCAGTTCTTCAGTGAGAACTTGAGGTGTGTTTTTGTTGAAACTTAAGGTGCATCGATCAAAAGTTAGGTGCGTTGTTTTACTTCTTAAGGTGCGTGGTTTGGGTGCTTATGGTGCGTCAGTTGTTGAAATCTAAGGTGTGTCGGTTTAAACTTTTAGGTGCGTGGTTTTCCTTTTGTGTGATTTTCCTTTTTAAGGTGCGTGGTTTCTTAAATGGTGTGTCAGTTATAATATTTTGGTACCCCATTTTAAAACTTTAGGCGCGTGGTTTATATTATTAAGGTGTTTTGTTTGTGTGCTTAAGGTGCGTGGTTTGTACGGAAGGTACATCATTTTCATGCGTAATGTTAATAAGTTGCTTCGTTCCTTCCAGATGCGCGTTTCTTTCAAAAAAAATTGATTTTAGCTGTTGATCTGATCTATATTTGATCAACTGCTCAGATTAAATTGCACATCCACACATAAGCAAATTCTCGCACCAAAACCACTATATATATATAGGGATCAAGTGCAGGGAGGGCTTCCCATGCGGTTGTGCGGGTGGACGCACATTAAGCATTAAACTGGCGCACTTTAAATACACAACACACGTACATTAAACACACAAACAAAACATCTCAAGAACACAAACTCACGCACCTTAAAGTTTCAACAACTACTCACATTAAACACAAACCGACACACCTTAAGCATAAAACTCATGCACCTTAAGCACAAAACTCATACACTTAAGCACAAAACTCACACACCTTAAGCAGAAAACTCATGCACCTTAAGTTTTAACAACAACTCACATTAAGCACAAACCCACACACCTTAAGCACAAAACACACGTACTTTAAGAACAAGATTCACGCATCGTAAGTACAAAACTCACGCACCTTAAAATCGCACAACCACACGTGAAACATTCACCCGCACTGAAACTTAATTAATTAATTAATTAATTATATATATATATATATATATATATATATATATATATATATATATATATATATATATATATATATATATATATATATATATTTGTTATATTTACACTTATCATTTTCAACATTTATCTTAATTTGTTATTTTCCTGTCTCCCATTTCCCATTTTGTGCAACGCAGGTTTCATCCCCAAGGTCCCCGTAATTAACACTAATTCACTTGCGGGCGGGTATGAGGATCTAGTTGCAACTCCGCATCCACCCAGCAAGGGGGCAGGCCATGATGGATCACCAAAAGGTGGTATATATGTCAACAATTAATATCTCATTTAATTAATAAATGCATACCAATATATATAGAAGCTAGCACAAGCTTTTAGTAGAAATAGTTTGAGTTAATTTTTTTTTTTTTTTTTTGTCTTAGATTTATAGGTGACAGTTCACTTTTAATTATTTTTATTTTCAAAATATTTATCTTTTAGTCCTAATCCTAACATTATTGTGACATGATCATTTGTTATCCTTTGTTAATAAAATCGTTGAAATGTCGTTAAATTTATGGACATTTTGATTTTTTTTTTTTAAATACAAAACGGGTTACCCCACTATATCTTTATTTTTATTTTTATTTTTAAAAAATAATAATTGAAGACCTAAATGTTCTTGTATTTGCAAAATTTAACGTTTTTTTATGAAGGACTAAAATGATCATGCCAAGATCAAAGGATGATGTGTTTGAAAAAAATGACTAAAAGTAAATCTCACTTATAAATATATGACAAAAACTAAAATTAACTCAAATAGTTTTATTATACCTCTCTAAAGTCTGAATAAATATATTGTATGTGATGATGTTATTTTGTTGAATAATCCATAATGTCCTCGTTGGTCAATTAGATACTGTCACTTCAAGCTAGATTTATTTTATAATAATAATAAAAAAATTTAAATTAAAGACTTTTAGGGCATTTATTATATCAATTAGGATTTTTTTTGTCATATTTTTTATGAGCCCCAACATCCACATCATCATCTATTATATCATCCACTATTTCACCCAATCATTAAAATCATTCTCTTCATTAATTTTAGATTTTTCTCAATTTTTTATGGACCCACCATTTTACTCCACTATATTTTAATTATTTTTTATTTAATATTATTATAAAAATAATAATTACAATTAATATTTTTTATTATATTTAAATTGAACATGTCAAAATTAAAATAAATTTATAATTAATAATTTTTTTTGGGGGTGGGGGGTGGGGGAAGGGGGGGAGGGGGGGAAGGCCCCCTGTGGTGACCATCTCCCTCCATCCCTGGGTGCGTGTGATGAATGCACGCGCTGGGGCGACCGTGCGTACAAGCGCGCAATTTTTTTATTTTTATTTTTTTTGTTTAACAAAAATTTTTACTTGCAGGAGAAAAAACTACTCTTCTAGGAGTAGGACATGCACATTGATCTGGTCAGTTTTGTATATTATGCAAAAATCAAGAAAAAAAAACATAGGTCTGGATGCTCTTATATTATTCAAACTTGAAGAAATTTCTAATTCATTCATTCACTCCTGCAGGACAACACCCTTGAGCGCCGCCACGAAAGTGAAGTAGAGAAGCAATATATATAATATAAATAAATAAGCAGCCCTTTAATTTGCAGACTACTTCACAGGCCGGAAGGATTTACTATTAATCATTATCAAATATTAAAACTATTTCCACTTCATCCATCTATCTGTACTGTACTCAATTTATATTTAATATATGCATGTGTTGTTGTACTTTGTGGAAAAGAAAACAAATGTAATCGTACGTACGTGTGTAATTTGATTATATTAATGAAAAACTATGATGGGGTTGCTTTCAATTATTGAGGAACTTGAGCCGACAATGTTAACAATATCTATTCATGGTTTTGATCTTCAGTAAAGACGATTTTTTGACTTTTATGTTTCAGTAGATTGAGAAAGTAATTATAAATTAAACATATACTACGTTATAACAGAGTTATTAGTACTTAAAAAAAACAAATTGATGATTGAATTGGAGTTTGTTCACTAGAAAACCAATTTATATAATTAATTACTAAAATCCGAATATTTTAAACTTTCTTTTAAAGAAACATTATTGAAATTACATTTTTATCAATGTTAAAAATTTGACTGGAGGACAAAGAAAAGTTAAAATTTGATAAAGAAAGCATGTGGTGCAATCATTTTAATTAATAGTTGAGGAGCATGGGTGGCAGTGTCATAATACTCAGATAATTATTAGCGGTATTAATTCAATCTTTTGTCTTATACTGAATTTTCAATAATGTTTCGATAATATTCACAAACATTTTTTTCATATACATCATATCAATACAATGGTTAAACACACATTATTAGAAAATAATTATTTTTACAAATTAAATTTAGATTAGATGTATGAAATAATAATTTTTATCCTATGTAAAAATAAATTTTGTGATTGTGTAGATAGTTATGTACCCTATTATGAATCTCCGTTACCAAAAGATGGACCTTCATTGGTACCTCAGGGCACTGGAAGAGGTGATAATTCGAGCTCTTTCTTCATCATTTTCTATCAAAGCTTCACGGGTTGAAGGATTGACTGGTGTTTGGGTTGGTAAGGCCATAATCTCTTTCTAGTTTTTAAGCTCTTCTAATGTTATTTTTCCTTGAAGTATGCATGTCTTGTTCTTTCAGGAGATCAGAAGCTAGCTGCCATTGGCATTAAGGTTTCTCAATGTAACCACTGATTTAGCAGCTTTTCAAGGGATAGTTCCCTGTGGAATCCAGGATCGTCGAGTTGGAAGCATAAAGGAGCTGCAGAGTGGAGTTTCTTCCAATTTATAATGCAATGAAATTGATGATTCTCAACTAATGGATATTGCTTACAAATCACTACTCAGGGAGTTTTGTGAACTTTTCCAGGTTGACCTATACTATAAATAACTTCATGTTTTCAACAGGATGCAACCCCTTCAATACCGAGGCCTCTAGTCCCAATTATTCTCGAGGTATAATATATATACACACACACGAAAAAATTTATGTTGATTTTGTACATGTATTATACTTTCTCTTGTCATTTATATATAAATTTAACTTGTTTTCAGTGTGAAAGATATGTTTCATAGTGAGTGAGTATTGATGGTTTGAATGTGAGTAAAAAGTCTGGGTGAGGGTGAGGAAATTGTTATGCTGTGGAACTGTGCCCACCTAGCAAGGTGGACATAGTTTTATGTTTATAATTATTGAATTCTATGTTCTTAATTTTTGAACTTTACATTCACAATTTGAACTCTATATTCACAATTACAGAACTCTATGTTTATAATTTTTGAACTTCATATTCACAATTATTGAATTCTATATTCACAATTATAGAATTCTATGTTCATAATTATAGAACTTTATGTTAATAACTCTATGTTCATAATTGAGAAAATGGTCAAATAGGCCCTTAAACTTTACCACAAAGGTCAATTAGGCCCCTAAACTTTAAAAAAGTGTAATTAGACGTTCAAACATGTCAAATTGGGTCAATAAAGCCCAAAAACCGGTAAATGACCTGTTGTTACAGATCATTTCAATTTCGGCGACCGACGACGGATTTCGGCTACCGATGACAAAATCTAGCGACGATGGTTAGATTTCGGCCGTCCATTCGTCTTCCACCGGAGAAGACGACCAGACGGTCGCCTTCTCCAGTGGAGAAAACGACCAGATTTGGCCGCCTTCTCCAATGGAGAAGGCGGCCATCTGTCTAGAGAAGGCAGCCAAATCTGGCTACCTTCTCCAATGGAGAAGACGGCCACGGTTGCCTTTTCCAGTGGAAGACGACCAGACGGCCGGAATCTAGTGATCGTCGTCGGATTTTGTCGCCGGTGTCTGGAATTCGTTGCTGGTCGCTGGAATCCGTCGCCAGAATTGAAATGCTCTGTAATAATAGGTCATTTACCGGGTTTTGGGCTTCATTGACCCAATTAGACATGTTTGAGGGTTTAACTGTACTTTTTTAAAGTTTAGGGGCCTAATTGACTTTTGGGGTAAAGTTTAGGGACCTATTTGACCATTTTCTCGTTCATAATTATAGAACTCTATGTTCATAATTTTTGAACTCTATATTTACAATTATGACAATTTTGGAACCGTGTACACCTTGCAAGGTGGACACGTTTCCACAGCATAATTTGCTCAGGGTGAGGCGAGTAGATTTTTAAAATCCTATTGGTAAAATAGTTAGCCTATAGGCCAATTTTGGCTTATTTAACGACTATTAATTGTTTGATTTGGTTTAAAAATCAATATATGTGTTTGGTTAATTAGCTTTTTGTACTCCAAAATGCTAAAATTCAAAAAGCTACTCAACAACTTTTTCAATTAACTTTTTGAGAAAAGAAATTGTACCAAACAGCTATCAGCTAACAGGTAATTTACCAAATACCTTTCTACAATCGACTAATGTTATCAACTAGTTATACTCTCTAATTGACCCAATCAGCTAACAGTCATTTACCAAACAGGCCCTTAGTTAATTTCTCCTACCAACAAAGTGTTACGTTGAAATTTTAGCCAATTAGTATTTTAAGAAAATTTAGTTTAAAAAGTTACGTAGCGACTTCTTATTTCCATCTAAATCCCTAAATTATTAGAAGGGAATAATTAGGAGACTAATAAAAATGATATTTCTTGCATTATAAATAAATTAATTGCAACATGCTACCTTATATTTTTTATAAAAAATTCTACAATCGCTACTTGAAAGCTAAGTGCGTTTTAGGTGAAACAAACTTACTTTGTGACTCTAACCACCAAATGATCACAAGAAGATAAATTAACTTAGATTAGTTATGGTTGATTAAATTCAAACTAAAAAGGCAAATAAATGATTCTTAAAAAAGTTAAAATTTTGTGGTTACTCAGTTGAGGTTAGACCTAGCTAGCTTATATCGTACTTCGTAAGGCCATCTTTAACGTGAGCAACAAATTGGCAAATTATATCATTTGAAATATCTCTTCAAGACGATTAAAACAATATTGAATATACCTTTCAAAAAAAAAACAATATTGAATATAAATTAAACTATATAAAAAATAATTTTAACAAAATTAAATTGTACTAAATATTATTATTTATATTACAAATTATATTTTATATTAAATTAATTAAATTCAAATTAATAAACTTTAAAATTTTGAAACACTAAATTATTTTAGTATATAATAACATTTGGTGTAATGGGTTCAAGATGAATAAAATTTGGTGTGAGAATATTCATTTTGAT